GCCACTATATGGGTGCTGGGAATCGAACCTGGGTCCTCTGCAAGAGCAGTCAGTGCTCTTAACTGCTGAGCCATCTCTCCAGCCCCCTGTTTTCCTTTCATTTTTTGAAGAGTGTTTTTTGAAACTCTGAGCTTAGGCTAGGGGGAGGTTTTATTTCACCCTCCCTAGGGCTGATGGCGGAGAGGAGCCCATGCATCTTTGGAGGCCACAGGGGTGACCTAGCAACACCTCCAAGCCCCTGCGCAGTGATGCTACTGGCCACACCTCTGCAGCCTCCCACCTGCAGCTGCCGATTTTCTGCTGGATCCCTACAGAAACGGGAGATTTTCTTGATAGAGGGGTTATCCTCTTGCCTCCCATGGCACCACACTTTATCCCTTAGGACCTGTAGAATTCATAGTGGGAATAGTGGGGGTGCACTGGAATCAGCGTCTGGCCCCCGGCATATTTCCTTGGAGTGGGGAATGGCTCTGTGTGAAGAGTCTCTCTTGTTTCTACTGGTGACTGTCCAAGGACTCAGAACAGAGAAAGATGGGCCCAGGAGCCTGTCCAAGCCACACAGAATAATATCCTTAAAGGGTGGCAAGTCTTAGGAACAAGATGATAAAAAAATAGAGGCCCATAGAAATCCATGTTATAACTCCCTGTAACTTGACAGTATGTGCCTCATGTCATCCAACTAGATGAGGGCTTTTGAAAGAGACAGAATGCTGCTCTGGCTGATAAGCCTTCCCTTGACTTCAGGAGATAGTGCTTATTGTAGTGAGGTATGGTGTGCACTCAGTGAGGAAAGGGGGTGAAAGGTGAAGAGAAGGCAGGGAGGGAACTTTGGGTACTTTGAAGACTAGCCATGCCTCTGGCCCCTGACCTAACCCCAGGAGTGACTCCTGATCATACAAATGGCCCTAGGAGCAGTGAGAGCTGCTACCAAAGGTGTCCAGTCTCTTGATCCCCCCTCCTCCCAACTGCAAGGTACCGGAGAGTCATTTCTCACTGGTGACCTCTACAAAACTGGGAAGGAAGTCTGGGTCTGTGGGACCCTGACCCCAGAAGTGACCTTCCTCCAGGGGAACAAGGTAGACACATATACTGCACACTAAACAATCTCTAGAAGACTCTGTGGTCCCTAGAGAACAGAGCCAACAGACCCAGTGAATGGCCCAGACTTTGCTTCAGCAGGTGTGAAGTCGACTTTGTAGGGACATTTCTGGTGGGCTCACCATGTCTGTGGTGGTAAGGAAGCCAATTTCTTGGGCAATGGAGCCAGCCTACTTGGATCTAGTTCCAACACTGGCTTACTAACATTATGGTCACTGGCATGTCTACCCTCTGAAGGAAAGTCAGGGTAGTTATGGTTTCAACCACATGGGTGTGGCTGTAAGGGTTAAATTAGTCCCCCCCCCCCCATGCCATTTAGAGCAGGGCTCTTCAGGTTGTAGGTGCTGAGAAGTGCTTGCTATGACAGTGGTGATATGCATCATTTTACCAGGGCATCATCAGACTCTAACAATTGATTTGGGACTAGGTAAAATCAAGGATAATTGTACCTCAAAGCAGCAGCAGCAGCAGGCGGGGGCTGGGGGGTGTAGTTTACGGAGTGTAAACTTAGCATTTACAAGGTTCTAGGATTTGATCCCCAGCATTGTAACCACCACCACCACCACCACCACGCACACACAAAGAATAGTAGGAAGTTTTGGAACTATCCTAACTCAGAGGGTTTTTTTTTTTTTTTGTCTTTTTGAGACAGGGCCTCCCTGTAGCCCCAGCTGTCTTGGATTCACTATGGAGACCAGGCTGGCCTCGAACTCACAGAGATCTGCCTGCCTCTGCTTCCCGAGTGCTGGGATTAAAGGTGTGCGCCACCATGCCTGGCCCCCTAACTCAGAGTTTTAGTAACACAAATGTGAAAGCAAGAAAGAACACTCCGCCCCCATCTGAGCACAGAGGTTTTAAATCAGAATAAATGGCGAGTTGGCCCCAGGATGTGGAGATGAGGCACAATGTATACATAGTTTTTCCACATGATTTCAATTAAACCACAGGGAAGAACTATGTTCCACATCATAATGCCAAATACAGGCATGCACTTGAAACACAGCTTTATGGAAACATACCTACCCCGACTTCTTAGATACACTGATACTTTTCTTTTTAAATTTTTTATTTTTTTGTTTATTTATATATTGTGTGTGTGCACACACCATAGTGCATGGAAGTCAGAGAACTAGCAGGAATCAGTTCTCTCCTTCCACCATATGGGGTCCTAGGGATCAAACTCAGGTCATGAGGCTTGGCAGCAGGTGCCTTTTCCTGCTGAGCCATCTTGCTAGCCCACTTTTCTTTATTTTTTAATGCAGTAAGTTGATGTCGTGACCCATCAATGGGTGTAAGAAGGAGGCGGTCTTTTCTTCTCTAGATGGCCCTCATGGTCTCTCAGGCTTTTGGATAGTTCCATTAGAAGTTACATTCTACTTTTGGGTATGCAGTGGGTGTTCAGGAGCCATGTTAGAGCGAGGCTTCTCTCTCTAAAACCAGAATGGCAGTTGTGACAGACAGGTCAGAAGGCAGGTACCCGGCATTCTAGCTTCTCCAGCAGCACACAGAATAGTATGTACATGGAATATGGAATAGTACATGGCACATTCCTAGAATCTCAGAACTGAGGAGGCTGAGGCAGGAGGATCATGAGTTTGAGGCAGGCTTGGTCTTATATAGTGAGACTGTCTTAAAACAAAAACCCAAACTGGACCCAGTCTCTGTGTCCTGAGGCTTAAGTATTAGTACACCAGGGTATCTCTTGACAGAATAAACAGGAGCTCTAGCCAAAAACTGGAACCCTCTTTGGGGAGTGGAGAGGTTTATCACTTATCTCGGGGTCTCTCTGTCTCTCTGTCTCTGTCTCTCTGTCTCTGTCTCTCTCTGTCTCTCTGTCTCTCTCTCTCTCTCTCTCTCTCTCTCTCTGGTGTATTCATGCCTTTATGTGCATACATGTATATGTCAGTGCACTCACTCAAGTGTGTGCATGTGGAGGTCAGAGGTTGATGTCAGGTGCTCTCTACCTGGTGTTTCGCACAGTGTCTCTCGTTGAGCCTACAGCTGTTTCAGCTAGACTGGTTGGTCAGTGAGCCCCCAGGATCATGTCTCTGCTCACTCCCAGCACTGGAGTTACAGATGTACACTGCCATTTAGGGCTCTTATGAGAGAGCTGGGGATCTGAATTTAGGCTTTCATGCATGCACAGCTATTACCCACTGAGCTGTCTTTTAAGTCCCTCTTTTGTTTTCTTTAAAGTAACAAAGTATTGAGAATTCCTGGTATTGTGGTAATCTCTCACCTTGGGAGAGAAAACAACACTGTAGGAAATCACAAAGTCACACCCTGTCCCAACCCCCTGGCCAGCACAGGAAGCATGAAAGTCATTTCCTAAAAATGGTTGGTTGCTTTTCAATCTTCCTTAACCCAAGAGGACAGGTGCAGAGGGGTCATCACATGATACTGAAGTTGGGGTAGGGAGGGATACCTAACTGACTCAACAACTGGAAGAGAAACGCCTGCATGTTTTCTCTGAGGGCCGAGTTCTTAGTGGCTGTCACTGTCCTGGATGAAGCTTTCATCCTGCAGGTTCAGCACAGGATTGTCAGAAGGGAGATCTCTCTGTTTCTGTGACACGATCATCTTGGATTCCTGCCAGCTCACCAGCTTAGAAAGTCCACCTTCCACTGTGCCTTATACTGGAGCAGGGTTCTCAGGCAGTGAGAATCTTCAAGGGCATGATATCACTCCACAGTGGCCACTTTGGCTTTAACTGCTAGAGAGCCTTGCTGGGGAGGGCTGAGGTGGAGGCTGGCAGAAGACAGAATGCCTTCAACTTCCAAGGTCATGACTGGAACAGGGAAGCAGGTCCAGATTCTCCCTGTTTAAAAGAAACCAGGCCCAGGCTTGTTTGTCATTCGACAGATATGTACAGAACTAGCATATGTACAGCAACATAGCATGCATGTTGCTGGGCCAGGGATATAGAGCTGCCCAGAGCAAGGTCTTGCCCAAAGCTTCTGGACTTAGAGGGGAGAGTGGGGGTGGGGGGAGGGGAGAGGAGCAGAGGAGGTGAGGACACAGTCAACATATGAGTATGATCCTCTCAGGTAATGACAAGTGCTCTGTAGGACTAGGATGGGATCACTGGATAGAAGGTGGTGCAAGTGGGGGTGAAGACTACTTTAGAGGTAAGAATAAACCTCTCTGAGGAACTTGGGCTCAACTTGAAAAGATGTAACAATGCATAGTTTCCAGATGAGACTTTAAGAACAAAATGCAGGTTCCTTACCCTCATCCTAGAGTGAATGGAGAATTCAAGGCCAAGGACAAGGCCCAGGAATTTGTCTTTTTTCTTCCAAATAATTTCCATGAGTTGCAAAAGGGACTTTTTTTTTTTCCCCTTCAGATTTATTTTTAGAGAGGATCACTCCTCTGAACTGCAGGGTCCTTTCTAACACCTAGAAATTGCAGTTCCAGAGAGGGAGCTTCCCACTGGGAAGGGAGAGGAGCAGGGGTGGCCTGCTCAGACCATAGTCTGCAGGTGAGGAAAATCAGCACAGACATCACTACAACCAGCCCTCACCATACACAACCAGGTCCAAAGCTTAGCTCTAGTGTCCTCCCCTCTTTATGCAGTCTCAGGACAGCATTAGATCTATCTTTTGCTTTGGGAACTATTCTGTCTACTCATAACTTAGGCCTTGGTGCCCTAGCTCTCTTTATCCCACTTTAGGGACCATTGGCAACTGATGGGGTGGGGGTGGGGTATTTAAACTCAAAGCAGAGGATGGGTGAAAGTGCCCCTTGATTTACACAAGCAGCCAGGGATCTACAAGCCTGTCTGACAGTGCCCTGGGGCCAGAGCACACCCAAGAAAACTGTCTTCTAGGAGAGCTTGGCAAGGGGAATCTGGAAACCTGTCATTACCTGTGACTCTTCATCTTCTCCAACGTACATTTCCTGTGCTCTAGTTCCTCTCTGCCTCTGTTTCCCCACCCGGTGGGAATCCAGAGGGAAGAGAGAGCTTGTGATGCGCCTTGGTCAGCACCTTCTCTCTCTCCATCTGGCCACGCCTGTCCAGGGATCTGCAGCGGGTCAGTGTATCTGAGTTCCACCGCCTGGCATGTCCTCGCATAGCAGTGCCTGGAGCGCAGGGTGGTGTCACTGCAGCGGGGGCGGCGGGGGCGGCAAGGTCGCAGTCCCAGGCTCCGTGCTCCGCACAGCCCAGTTCCCTGCACCTGGATCCTCCCTTCGTGCCTGGTGCAGCGCCCGCGCTGGGACTGTACGCCCGAAGCCGACTCACGCTGGTTGGAGCCGCGCGCCCGGGGGCAGAGAGAGGTGGCGGTTCCCAGGGGCACACGTGGGGCTGGGTGCCCAGTAAGCCGCAGTGAGCCGGAGGCATGGGCCAGGCGGCCTGGAAGGGGCTCGTACTAGCGCTGTTCGACTACAAGACAGCAAAGTTTGTGGTCGCCAAGAGCAAGAAGGTGGGAGTGCTCTACCGGCTGCTGCAGCTCTCCGTCCTGCTGTACCTGATCATGTGAGTCCTTTCTCGAAGCCGGGGGGGGGGGGTGGGGGGGGGGGGCACAGGGGCCTTCTCTTGGATCCTGGAATCTACCCGCACGAGGGTGGCTGGGGCCCCTGCCTTGGAGTGGGTCCTCATGGGCCCTTGGATGAAGGGTGAAAAGGGGGCACTCTAGGCCGCCTCTGGATCTCGGCCGCCTCTGGAAGTGTGAACCTAGGGCAGGGGTTCCCGGGCTCCTTCCTCTGTGCCTGGAGCTCCCAGTGTTACAGCCATGGGAAGGGGGCAGGGATGCCAGGGGCTGCAGCTGCTCCCATAGGCCTCCGCTGGCCTGGCCTGACAGCTGGTCAGGCATCCCGCAGGTTATTTATAAGCACTGAGCGGCAGTGTCTTACTCTTGGCCGGCCTACTGGTCAAACTGGCATGTTCTGGAACTCCCAGTCCATAAGCTCACCCAAAACATGGGCAGTTTCTCTGATGTCTAGCTAGGGAGTCCTGTCCAGGGACCCCTACCCTTCAGTCCTGTTGTCTCTCCTCTCTTGTTTCCATCTCACCCAGCATGGCGTGGGCCCACCAGCCCAGGGGGCAAGCTGTTCGAAGTTACTCAACTAGACCTTGGCCTGAGCCTCCCCTTGCTCTTTGGAAGTGAGGAGGCACAGATTGAGAGAGGCAGCCCCTGTGGACAACTGGATGCACCTTCTTTTCCTCATTCAGTAAATGCGAGCAGTTGTTCTCATCTCCTTCTGGGAGAGCAGCCCTGCCCTAGGTAGCCTTGCTGCCTTCTAGAAGCTGGACACATAGCATTTCCTGGGCTTTGGCTTCAGGTCTTTGTACTGCTGTTCCTTGGCTAGCCTTGTTTTTCCTTTTCTGTTGGGCTAGCACCCACTTATCCTCCAGACCTGGGTTCTCCTTCCCTCTCCTTCCCTCCCTGGCATTCCATTCCCATAGTGTCATTATGAGCAGATTTGGAGGAACATTTGTTCATGTCTATTTCTGACTGTATGCCAGTCTGGGGATGTCATGTTGGGAGGGCCCGGTATCAATTCACTTGGAAATAGGTGTGAAATGAACAAGTGAATGTTGAATGAAGGCGATCCTTGAATATCTGCCTAATGTTTCTGATTGGGCCAGGTCCAGTATGGCTCTGCTAAAATGGCTGGTTTGCTCAAGGATCACCACCTTTTCAAAGTTCCTTGAAAATGTGGCAACATAGGGTTCTCCCCCAAACCCTGTCCCAGATATGAGGAAGCAGACAGGTTTTGGTTGGCACCTCTGGATCCCTGGAAAGTACTAGCATACCAGCCCACTCACAGCATGACCCGAGTCAGGTGGCTTCCTCCTCTTTTGACCTGTTTCCCCAGTGAAACCAAGAAGAGTTACCCTAGATGATGTCTAACAGCAACAACAAATTGAGGGATTGTGTTCATGGAGCTTTTGCTTTGTGCTAGGCTCACTGTGTGTGGCATTGACATGGCCATTTCATTAAAAAATATATCTTTTTTGGGAGCTGGAGCGATAACTTAGTGGGCAATAGTGCTTGCTGCTCTTCTAGAGAACAAGAGTTAAGTTCCTAGCACCCATATGGGGCAGCTCACAACCACCTGTAACTCTAGGTTCAGGGGCTCTGACGCCCTCTTCTGACCTCCAAGAGCACTTGCACTTATGTGCACACACATAAACACACACAGCTAAACAACTGGTATCTTTTTAGATAGGTGTGGTGGCTGGCACACACTTAAAATTCTAATGCTTGAGAGGCAGAGGATTGCTATGAATTTGAGATCAGCCCGAGTTATACGTTTCTTCATAGTATCCTTTGATGTGCAGAAGTTTTTAATTTGAGGAAGCCAAACTTTTCTGATATATATATATATATATATTGCTGGTTATGTTTTTAAAATTTTAAGTTACATTGATTGATTGATTGATTGATTGATTGATTGTGGGGGGTAGGGGCAGCATGTGGCACAGCACCCATGTAGAGGTCAGAAGGCAACTTACAGGAGGTTGTCCTTTCCTTCTACCATGTGGATTCCAGGGATTGAACTCAGGTCATCAGGCAGCTTGGAGGCAAGCGCCCTTACCTACTGAGCCATCTTCCATGCCTTACTTATGAATACAGGATTTAATTTATTTTTATTTATTTACTTGTTTTTGGTGCTAGGGACTGATACCAAGGTTTTATTCATGCCAGGGAAGCCGTCTGCTACTGTATCTCCAACCCTTTGATTGTTTTAGCAATAAGCACCTAGAGCTTTGGAGGCCCACACCTTTCATCCCTGCTTCTCCATCTTGAGTGCATGAATGCATGAGTGTGGGACAGGTGAACCTCTGAGCTCATTTACCCCAGCCTAGGAGTTGCTGTGATTCCCACTCCAGCTTCGGCCTGGGCAGCCCTGTGGATGAGACCACCTGTTGGCTCCCTTTCTACAGATGGGTGTTTGGAATAAAGAAGAGTTACCAAGATACTGATACCTCCCTGCAAAGTGCTGTAGTCACCAAAGTCAAGGGTGTGGCCTTCACCAACACCACATTGCTAGGAGAGCGGCTCTGGGATGTGGCCGACTTCGTCATCCCATTCCAGGTCAGAGCCCTGGCCTAGGGACCTTGGGGCCTAGTTTGGTGGGGAGTGACTTGGGGTACATCACACAGGAATGAAGCTGCTATGATTGATACCCAGGGACCTCCAACCATTGTCTTCCTGGTCCGTGACACAGACAGTAACCCTGTCTGTCTTTTTCTGCATGTTCCATTCCTACCTCAGTTTCTGTGTCAGGCCTGGCTTCTCTTCTTCCCAGAGATCTTTGCTTTTTCCTTTTTTTTTTTGAGACAGGTCTCTCTGTAGCCCCAGCTGACCTGGAACTCGCTTTGTAGACCAGGCTGGCCTCGAACTCACAAAGATCTTCCTGCCTCTGCCTCCCGAGTGCTGATCTTTGCATTGTTAAGACCACATGGGGACATACAGGTCTATCAGGGATCTGTGATCAGATGACCTGAGGTCTGAACAGAATTATGAGGTGGGAGTTTGTGGGGCTGCAAGTTACACATCAAAGGATATTCACTCAGAAACAGTGGGATCATCAGACAGATGGGCAAAGCCCACCAATTCTGGGGCCTCCTGCTGTCTCCAGTCCCATGCAGAGGCCTACCCCCCGTCCAGGCAGACTCCTCTACAACAGGCCAGGAGGAGTTCCTTAACCTCTTTCTGGCTTTTCAGGGGAATAATGCCTTCATTGTGATCACCAACCTGATCCTGACTCTCAACCAGCGGCAGGGCACCTGTGCTGAGGTTTGATTTGGCATGGGGATTAGGAAGGGGTTGGAGAGCCCCCAGCTGTGATGACACCCCTCCTGAAGCAGAGGCTTGGTTTGCTCCGAGAATGTCAAGATGCTAGATAATTGGTGCATGGTGCGCCTGCAAGTTTTGGAGGGGAAACAATTTTTCTTAAAACTAAAAAAAAAAATTGTGTGTGTGTGTGTGTGTGTGTGTGTGTGTGTGTGTGTGTGTGTATGTGTGCATGAGTATTTTCAGGAGTTATTTTTCTCCTTCCACCATGGGTCCTAGGGATCAAACTCAAGCCATCGGGCTTTCGTGGCAAGTGGTTTTACCCACTGAACCATCTCCCCAGCCTGAGAAGCAGGTTTTAAAAAGGTCATGTGGCCTCAGGTCAGGGAAGGATCCCCCTTCTAGCTCTGATGGGACCTAGCCCTGGGCTGGGGGCAACTCCTCACAGACACCTTTCTTTCCTGGCAGCATGAAGGTATCCCTGATGGAAAGTGTTCTCAGGACAATGACTGCCTTGCTGGGGAAACTGTTACAGCTGGACATGGTGAGGGCCCAGAGTGGCTGGGACTGAAGCAGGGCAAATGGACCAGGACTGGAAGGTTCCTGGCACCATCCCTGTCTCTCCTCTGTAGGACTGAAAACTGGCCGCTGTCTGCGGGTGGGGAACTCTACCACAGGCACCTGTGAGATCTTTGCTTGGTGCCCAGTAGAGAGAAGGATCAAGCTAACGTGAGTGACTGTGGCTTGTGGTCCCAAAGGAGTTGCTAAATCAGACACAATGGGTCCTACCAAAGGCCAGAGGCCTGTACAACTCTGCAAGCCTGGGGAGGGATTAGAGGGCAGGGCCAGGCCTCCTGCTCAGGCTGCCTTGGCCTGGTTTTCAGGGAGCCCTTCCTGAAGGATGCTGAAGACTTCACCATTTTCATAAAGAACTTTGTTCACTTCCCCAAGTTCAACTTCTCCAAGTAGGTGGGGTTTGGATCCTGGGGTGGGGATGCTGGCTGAGAGCTGTCCTGTGGCTGTGCTCAGATTGAGCACAGTGTATACATATATGTGAGTGAATCTCGCAGTGTCATGGAGGTATCCCTTCCTCTATTTGAGGATTGTCTCTGTTCTTGGGGGGAGTAGGATATGAGCTAGGGGAGAGGTCACATCTGGCAAAGGCCCACTGCCTCCTGGGGGGTAGGCGGCAGCAAAGCCTCTCATTTCATGGTTTCCTCCCAGAGACAATGTGCTGGAAACAACCAACAAAACTTACCTGAAAACCTGTCACTTCAGCCCCAAGAACCTCTACTGTCCCATCTTCCGACTAGGGACAATCATCAGCTGGGCAGGGACCAACTTCCAGGACATAGCCCTGAAGGTGGGTGGTGTGTGCTCAGGGAGCCATTACAGGGAGCTGGGCTCTGCAGTAAGAAGGCTCGGTGGAGGGGCACCTGTGGGACCAGAGTGATTTGGCAGACTCACTTGTTCCCAGGAGCTCACTGATCTCAGAGTTAGTTGAGACACATGGCCGGCTATGCCAGGTACCTGGTGGGTAGGTAGTTCTCTGACCCCAGGACATCATCAGAAACAGTTAGAAGGAGCTCCAAGGATGCACACTGATTTGTGTGTAAAGTTACTCCAGAGCTGTGGTCACATCAGTCCAGCTAGCTGACTTCTGACTGACCTGTCAAGCTCTTGTAAGGAGCTTCCCCGTGACTCTTGTCCATCCGCAGACAGCTCTGGCACTCACCCTGTCTCTTGTACCAAGGGCGGTGTGATAGGAATCTATATTGAATGGGACTGTGACCTTGATAAAGCTGCCTCTAATTGCAACCCACGCTATTATTTCAACCGTCTGGACAACAAACATTCAAAATCCCTCTCCTCTGGGTACAACTTCAGGTAACTGTGTTTTTTGTGCTATCTGGTGACCTTGACCATGTTCTGTGTCCTCTTTTGGGTTAAGTCCACCAGTGTTCTCAGGGCCCAGGGGTTGGTGCTGAGCTACCTGGGAAAGCCCTATCTTGGTACTTGGCTCAATGAGCAGTTCTGGACACTCTCCTAGGACTGCTGAGAGAAAGGGTCCTGGGCTTCTGAGAATTCCCCAAAGCTGCCAGGGAGAGAAGATGCAGGCAGATGAGCTTCCCTGAAACCCTTGTCTCCCCAGGTTTGCCAGATATTACCGTGACCATAATGGGAAGGAGTACCGAGACCTGATAAAAGCCTACGGTATTCGCTTTGATGTGATAGTTTATGGCAAGGTATGTGGGCCTCTTTCCTATTCTGAGGGCTGGTGGTTACTGGGCCAGGGAGGCTGGAGAGACTCTGTCTGGAGATCCAGCTGTCACCTGACTGTTTCTGTCTTGCAGGCAGGAAAGTTCAGCATTATCCCCACAGTCATCAACTTGGGCACTGGGTTTGCACTCATGGGTGCTGTGAGTACTTCCTCTGCCTTGCTGGCTTCCTACTCTGAGCAGGGAGAGGGAGGTAACTAACTGGCTGGGAGGAGCATGCCAAGCCCAGAATGCAGAAGGCCCTCGAGGTCACAGGGACATGGGTAAAGAGGGTTCTCTGCTATTTCTCACCCTGCCACCTGCCCCAGGTGGCAGTGACTGCAGTATGTCTCTTTCTAGAGCCACAAAGGCATATGCCTATAGCTCTGGACTGTAAGGTGGGTGGAGTATGGCACAGGTGGATCATCCCCAGTCTTAATGTGGGCTGGGATCTCTTTGGGATCCTGAGTCTAACATTTCCACCTCCACTTCTGCTAAAGGGAGTAGCATTAGGATATGCAGTTTGGGTACTGTTGACATTTATGGCCAGGGAATTCTTTGTTTTAGGGGTGTCCTGCACACTATGTGTAAGAGCATCCCTGGTCTCTACTACTTGGGTGTCAATGGGATACTTCTCAAGTTATGATGCTCAAAAATGTCTCTAGCTGAACCTGGGTTGAGAACCTGTGGCTAAAAGGATGAGAGCAGAGGAGACAGGCTTGTAATTCTTGGGGGGCAGGGTTCGGCTCTTAAGAAATGACTGAGGGTAGGGAAGGGCTTCTTACAAATGCCTGTCATGCCCTTGGTTTTTCTGGGAGAGGTTAATAATGTAGGAGTAACAGGAGTCGTTGGTGGGGGGCTCATACTAACACAGCAAGTTCCTTTCCAGGTTTCTGGTGGCCCCTTCCCTCCTCTGCCTGGGCAGCCCAAGCAGCCATTTGAGGATTCTCTTAAGACCTGGGATTGACTTTTCATTGAGATCAGGAAGACTGTCTTATAACAGGATTCGAAGAGGCTATGCTCCTGACAGGGGATTAAGAGTGAGCCCTGGCTGGGGCTGGAACTCACTATGGCCTGGAACTCACTATGTTACCAGGCTGGCCTTGAACTCACAGAGATCTGCCTGCCTCTGCCTCCTGAGTGCTGGGACTAAAGGTGTGCGCCACCATGCCCAACTATAAAAAAACATTTTTAGAAAAAGGACCAGGTTCACCTGTTGGCCTATCAATCCCTGTTGGCTTCCTTTTTCTGCCTTCAGGAACCACAGCTCTACCCTGCACAATGGGAAGAGTCGCTCTCTACTGGAGAAGAAAAGCATTACACATAACCTCTTATCTGAAGCCCATGTTCCGGAGTGTTTAGTAGGCACCAGCTGGATTTACCCCTGCTTCCTGTCTTTACTTGACCACCTCTGTAGGATTCCTGTTGTTAAAGTTCAGATGCCTTCCAACCCATCTCACACTGACTGCCTCTGGGATTGTTCCAAACCGCAATTGCCACTGTGATGCCTACCCCTAACGTACTAGGACCAATGTCTCCAAAGCATTAAACGGCTGGTTCTCGTCTCCTTTTCTAAAAGTGCAGTTTGCTATTTCCCCACAGGTCCCGTGGAATTTAGTAGTGACAGGCTTGCTCCTCCCTCTGTAATGCCATTCCCAGGTCTTGTATAATCCCAGATTCAGCTCTTAAGACAGGCTGGATGCCCCTCCCCAGGCTGAATGAAGTGCTGTCTCCACTGCTCCCATTTTGTCCCCATTATAGGACAAGTGACTCTGTATCTTAATTTACTTGTCTCCTCTAGCACAGGTCGAGTTCCCAGGTCTCTGTGGTCCATGTCCTCCCTGCACCCCAGTGCAGACCTGACAGGTGGTAGATTTTCAGCAAACGTGTTGAAGAAATTGGATCCAATCAGGGTAGTTTGGGGTGCTTGAGCTATGAGAACAGGTAGTAGTATTCCAGTCTAACTTTTGTCTACTATGGAATGGCTTTGAGCTCCTGGACAATGGTGCCCTCTTCTGGGCTGTTCGCTCATGTGTTAAATGGGGTCATGATGCCCCCCCACCCCCTTCTGGGTTGTTGCAGGATGAAGCTATGATTCTGAGTCAGAACCTCCAACTCTTTTGCAGGGGGCTTTCCTCTGTGACCTGATTCTCATCTACCTCATCAGAAAGAGGGGGTTTTACCGCGACAAGAAGTTTGAGAAAGTGAGGTCAGTTAATCGATGGCCCAAGAGCATTTCGCTGAGTCCTAAGGAGCACCCCAGCCCCTGCTTAGAGCCTCGCCTGGCTGGTCTTGGGTTGGGGTGTGTAGGGGGCATGCTGAGTCCTTGCTTCTGGACTTGGCCTCAGAATACCTAGGGAAGAAGAAGGCTCCCCAGGCTGCCTGGATGGAGATTTGTGTTCAGGTTCTGCCATTGTCTCACTCAGTGATTTTAGTCAAGCCCCAGTCCTTAGACCTTGGTTTCTCCTTTCTCAGTTTTTCTGAAGGAAAAAATGGATTTTTTTTCCCCTCTACTGTGGGGGCCTCTCGGATGGTCTTTGTTATGTGTGCATAACATCAGAAAGCGGAGGTGGGGGATCCTGATGTCTGGGGTGACAGGAAGGGAATGGGGTTCTGGTTGTGGCCCATGGAGAAAGGCTTTGGGGAGGAGCTGGGACCACAATGAGGAACTGGGTCAGGCAGCATATGCTCCCTCAGCCCCAGCAACCTGGACTGTGAGTGCAGGGTGGGCCCTCGAGGTTTACCTGGATGGCTCCAGATGCAGCCTGAACTCCTCTAGTGCAGCCCCACCTGGCTATGTATTGCCCTCTCTGCTGGAAGACTGAGGGCTGCTGGGAAGGGAGTGCGATTCTCTGCCAGTGTCCCAAGAAGCTCATGGTCATTTCCCACCCAGTGGTCACAAAGCTGAGACCCAAGAAGCAAAGTTTGATGTCAAGTCTAAGGATTTGGACCAGGATCTGCAGGATGAACCGCCAGAAGGAAATTCGGTGGGAGAAGCAGCTCCACTCCAGGAACAGCCCCAAGCTCTTTGAGCCAGACAGGTAAGGTGATGGGACACAGCTGGTTGAGGGCTGGCCCCTGCAGAGAGGGGACCACTTGGGATTCACTGAAAGATGTCCAGAACTCCTGAGACCCCCTCCAAGCTGGACTAGGGTGGGTACTGGTGGTGCTGGAGTCTCCCATGAGCCCATCAGCTCCTCACAACCCTCCAGGTCCTCCTGCAAGCCAGTGTAGTCAAACTACATTTCCACAGCCTCTTCTAGTGGTGCTGCGCTGGACCGTTTGTAATATGAACTCATTTAAACAAGGTAACGAGGTGGAGCAGGATATGCCCTGTTTTACTAATGAGGAATCTGAGGCCTGGTCAAGTGCTCATTCCCCACCTCCAAGCAGGTGACTCCTGTGGGTCCTTCTTCTGTGTGGACGTTCTGGAGCTTCCCTGGAGCTGCTGGGAAGCCCTGGTCAGCATGGCTCTTCAGCAGTTGTTACGGTAGCTGTGGAGAGGTAGCCTTGGGTAACCTGGAGGCTCTGGTCAGGCCTGGTGTCTCCCCTGCTTGCTGCATCCTGGGCCTTGTTTACCACATTTTTGTTGTTATTCTCATTTTATGTGGTGGCTTGACAGTGGTGCCTGCTGCTCAGTCAGGCCAGGCCTGTGTAACCCTCTAGTAAGCCACAACCAGGGAGTTCCCTCGCCTAGGATGATCTTTCTTCTGGCTCCCAGCTTCACGCCTTGAGGACTCAGGGCTGGGCAGCCTCCAGCTGGGAGCTGGGCCTGGGCACCAAAAACGCTGAGAAATACCCTATGTCCCGGAGTTCTCTTAGGGTCCCTTGCTCCTGACGCTGTTAGACAAACCATATAACACATCTTTATCTGAATTTTTCATAGTTTATATCCTGGGTAGGGGAAATAGAGTAACTTACAAAGGTGATCACCCAGAACCCCACACCCCACACCCTGTTCCACTTTGTGGCTCTGCAGTCTGCCATTCCAGATGTCTTTCATCCCCTGCCCACATTTTCAGTTAGCTTTCACCCACACCTTGTGGGTCTACAGTCTCACCCCAGGTCTGGAAATGCCCCCTCTTGTGCCCATGCTGGTGAGACACCGGGGTCACTTCCAAGATGGTGCCAATGCTCCTCCCTCTGTTGCTAACTCTCCACAGCCAATTCTCTGCAGCAGTTCCCACCTTTCAGAGGAACATGTACCCCTGGGGACACACATGCCCATGGACAGTTATTAGTTTTTTGACCTGTCTTGATTTTGAAATTGAAACATGCATATCTAAGATTTCAAAGCTGGCATCCAGCTATGAAAGAGAACATAAAATGTTTATCTTTTTGTGTCTAGCTTACCTCAAACATGATGACTGTCTCCATTAATCTGTAATTTCATAATTTCATAATTTCATTTTTCAGAGATGAATAATATTCCATTATGTGTATGCTCTCCACATTCACTATGCATTCATCAGTTGATAGTCATCTAAACTGTTTTTAATTCCTGGCTATTATAAAAAGGGCAGCAATGAATATGTATGAACAGGTATTTATGTAACCGTGTATAGAGTCTTTTAGGTATATGCCCAAGAGTTTTATGGCTAGATCAAATGATAGATCAATTTCCAGCTTCTTAAGGAATTTCCACACACATTTCCATAGCAGGTGCACCAGTTTACACTCCCACCAGCAATTTATAAGTGTTACCCTTCCTCTCCAGCCTTCCCAGAATATGTTATTTGGATTTTATTCATTCTGACCAG